GGAAACAGAGGACTGTGATCCTTGAAAGGCAGAGGCACTGCACCAAACAAACTAGCTGCTGGAAGCTAGTCTGTTTGGTGCAGACTAGCTGCTGCAAAATAAGTAATGATGGGGAAGGGAAGGAGAAAATAAATATTCTCAGTGCCTCAGCTGCACACCTGGCGCAGCCAAAAGCATTGGAGAGCTTTGGATCGCAGAGCTGAGAAACATCCAAGGAAAAAGGCAGTGGAAGGCTCCCAGTTCTTGCAACAAGAGATGATATTGCTTTCTGCTTTTTTATAGCTCAGAACTTTGAATCTCCTTGTCTGTTTCAAAGCAGCTTGCAAGTTTCTCTTCTGTCCCAAAGCACTGTTTTTTCTTCAGCCCATAGATTCATTCACTGCATAGAAAATAACATGTGTTGCAGTAGCTCTTCTAGCCTCATGGCAGAGGAACAAAAATACTGTGGATTACTATGTGGGCAGCATTTTCGGAAGTGATATAGTGTCCCTTTTTCTCGGGGTGGGGGGAGGGGAAGCACCTTCATGAGGGTTAAAAGAGAATCAGGCTTAAATATGTAAGTAAAGTTTATTATAAATATAATAATCCCTAATCAGCATGAAGATCTTCTACAAAATCTAAGTAACTACCTAAGTACCATTCAGTATGCATGTTTCTAGGTTTTAAAGACACATCTATTTTTTAGCAGACTGGTTAATAGGATTTCTCTTTTTTTTTTACTGTCATGACTTGAAATAGTTCTCTGTTCTCTGTTCCCTGACTGGTTGGCTTGAATGCCTCCTTTCTCTTAAAAAGCACTAAAAGCCAAAGAAAAGGGTCACAGGAGTTGGTCCTACCACCCACCCTCCAAGGATGTCATGGGCTGCCTGTGGCTCATGAACCCCAGGACATCCATTTTTGCAGTTTATGGGTCTTATGTAAACATATACTTTTTATATTTCAGATAAATACAGCTGCATAATTACATATGTCTGCCACCCACTCCCATTCCCAGCCAAGTGGAGAAGAAGTCTTCACTGGGTATATTAAATGTAATCTCTTTTAATTTTCAATTCTTTTGTGCATGGGCTTTCTTTTAAACTAGTAGATTCTGAATTTATAATAGACCTCTGCAATTCGAATGCCTTTGTCTTCAGTTTCTTAGTCAGTACAAGTTATTAAAACACTCTCATTAAAACCCTGTTTATTATCTGCATATTCAAATCTAATGGGAAGGAAAGTAAAGCATTCCCTTGTGGAGTAGAAGAATAAAGTTCTGATATGATAACAAGAGGGAACAACTCTCTCTGTTACAGAGAGAGAATCTGGACCCCAAAAAGCAAAGTGTTTAAATAAACATCAACAAATCTGCAGAAGGTAAGTAAAATTGCAGGTTAGCAAAGTTCCTACCGTCTGAGCACGTGCAAAGGGCTTCTTACGCTAAAAAAAAAAAAAAGCTTTCATATCCATCATCCTTCCTTTCCCTATTCATCTTCTGAAGTAGGGTAAATTATGAAAAGCTTTATTCTACTTTTCTCCCATGCAGGATATTAAAAGACACAGAATAAAAACCTTAGGGGATAACTATATTGCAGAATTCAGGATAGAATTACCCATTAACCTTAAGGAGCATTAAAAAGCATTTTTTGAAAAACAAATCCCAGTCAGAATGGCTTTAAAATGAGTAGCAAGATATTGCCTGAGCATGGAGTCATAAATTCCTAAATACTGTCTTGCTCACCACTAGAGAAACCGCAGGGGTGCAGATCAGCGGATCTGTAGGGCAGACCTCCCAACGTTTGGGAGCAACCATGGAAGGGGAAAGAATGTCTAAAAGGCAAGATAGCAGATGCAGTGTTGCAATGCAGTCCTGCCTCTTGTATGCCTTGTCACGTGCCATAAAAAAAGAGAAGTGTCTATAGCCACCATTTAAGCCCCACACATGGATTCTGGTATCTAGGATTAAACCCTGACGAAACTCCCAGTACACAACTCCCTGTCTATGGTGTGGAGCTTCCCATAGCTAGGTGGCTGGAAAAGGATCTCCTTATGATGACAAGTCTGAGGTCCATTCTGGAACATCCTCCTGAATATGTGCCTGGCACAAATGTTGTCATCTTTCTAGTGCCATGTATTGCCATTTGTATTTTTTTCCAACACGAACCTCCTCTGGCCCAAAAGCCCTAAGTCACAAGTTGATCTCCACTCCTCTCTTCTTATGGCCAGCCCTACTATTAGTCAAAGTGAAGCAGCCATTTCAGACATCTGCAAGGTAGCTAGAACCTCATCAACTTTAACATGTATGACTTCAATAACCAAAATTTTCCAGCCAGCATGTGTGTGTAAATTCCTTGGGGCAGAGATGGGGCAACCTAAACCTAGTGGCACATCCTTCATTCCACTCTATCACAGCATTTGTATGTTCAAGAGTGAGTATAGCTGAACATCTCAGACCCATTTTTATTTTGGAGAGTTGGAAAGATGTTTGAAGAATGGAACTGACACTTTACAGCTTACAAAAGCTAAAGCATCCTTAACAACTTTGAACTCCTTAAAATTAAGCCAAATGTTCCTAAGGTGGGGGTGTTAACATACAAAATAAATTACTTTTAGAAGTTCTTTGCCTGGGATTTAGCTGTAAATCCAAGATTTTCTGATACTTCACTTTTTAGATCTACATAGACTAGACTAGGCAGAAATCTCACAGAGAGGACTCAGCAGATTAATAATCTTTTCGGCAGATAAGAATGAAACCATACAAATCAGTTGATTTGCTGCTGCCACAAAAAAAGTGCAAATACGGGTAGTCCTCAACTTATGACCACAGCTGAGCCCGAAATTTCTGTTGCTAAGCAAGACAGTGGTTAAGTGAGTTTTGCCCCATTTAATGACTTTTCTTGCCACAGTTAAGTGAATCACTGCAGTTGTTCACGGTTGTTAAGTGAATCTGGCTTCCCTATTGACTTTGCTTGTCAGAGGGTCCCAATCACATGCCCTCCCCCCCCCCAGGACATTACAATCATCATAAATATATGCTAGTTGCCAAGGATCCGTATTTTGATCATGTGACCATGGGGATGTTGCAATGGTCATAAATATGAAAAATGGTCATAAGTCACTTTTTTCAGTGTTGTTCTAACTTTGAACAGTCACTAAACGAATGGTTGTAAGTCGAGGACTATCTGTGATCTGGTATTTAAAACTCAAGTCTCTTTCTCACACCCCTGCTATCAATTAATGGATTCCTGGCATGATGATCTGTAGCCTTGAAACTGAATAACCGTTACACATGAACACAACCACCAGCACTGGCTCCCACTTGAATCCGCACAACTTAAGTTTAAGGGGGCAATTTCTCCCTTTAAGGGACTCTCCAGCTCCCCAAATTGAAAACAAGAAGTAGCTTTCTCTGGCCTAACTCCTGCAGATCCCATCTAGGGGTCAAAGGGACACCTGGAGTAAACAAAATCAAGCACCTCCTCTATATATACGTAACCTTCCTTTCCATCAGGAAAGTTGATACAAGTAAAGATGGAAGCCATTTGAAAGGAGGGTAATGGCACCCTTTCACTCTAGAAATCGTTTCTCCACTACAAAATGGGAACATATAATTGGGCATAAGGAGTCACCTGGAGGAACAAGAGGAACAACTGCAACCAGGACAATGGCAAGATAAAAGAAATCGCAGTCCAGGGCAGAAATGCAATTTAAGTAAGCACCTTAGACATGAAGTTCCTTACTTCTCATGAAGAAAAAGGGAAGTAGGGAGGAAGGAAAAGGGAAGCACATTCAGACTTGCATGATTGTGTTATTAAAACTCTATAATAAAAGTAATATTAGCTTTCATGACTTTGGTTTCCACATTTGGTCTATTTCAACGGTTTTCAACATTTCCGGCTCTGCCGATTGCTGATATAGCGGGGGAGGGGGGAGAGAAGAGATGATGGTTTTACACACTCACTCACTGTTTGCATGGCGGCAGCCTGGTAACACGCCATGCACTGTGTGGGTGGGGGACCCCTGATCTATTTGACAGAAGGAAGGAAGGAAGGAAGGAAGGAAGGATGGATGGATGGACGGACGGACGGACGGACGGACGGACGGACGGACAGACAATCAAACTAGGCTGCCAAAATCTGGACAGACAATAGTTGTCAGCAAAGAATTAGATGTTTCAGTGTCTCTTTACTGCCTTCTTGTAGTCACTTTTGTAGCCCCAGATTAATATTTCTAACAAAATAGACTATGAGAATAATTATCATTCTCAACTAATCCTTCGGTGCCCATACTATGTGGCAAATATTAATTCCAATCAAACTCTTTTATTTCTTTATGGCTGAATTCTGTAACATTTTATTATTTATCCATTCTCACTGACTAGAAATCCCATCTTTACAGCAGGCAGAGGGTAAAAAAATCTTCTGAAGATCCTGTGAAATTGTGCAGCAGGAATCAGTTTTAGCCTGTTACACGTTAAATGATGACAAATGTCTAAAACTGATAAAAAGATGACTAAAGTCACAGTTCCCACTTGCAATATCAGAAGGACATGAATGCTTGCACCAGCAGTCTTTCCTTGAATTGGGTATGTCTAGTTTAATGAAGAGAAGGACGAGGGGGGACATGATAAGGAGTGTTCCAATATCTCAGGGACTGCCACAAAACAAGGGAGTGAAGCTATTTTCCAAAGCACCTGAAGGCAGGACAAGAAGCAACAGATGGAAACTAATCAAGGAGAGAAGCAACCTAGAACTAAGGAGAAACTTCCTGACAGTTAGAACAATTAACCCAGTGGAACAACCTGCCCCCAGAAGTGGTGAATGCTCCAACACTGGAAGTTTTTAAGAAGAGACTGGACAACCATTTGTCTGAAATGGTATAGGGTTTCCTGCCTGAGCAGGGGATTGGACTAGATGACCTCCAAGGTCCCTTCCAACTTTATTATTATTATTATGATGATGATGATGATGATGATGATGATGATGATGATGATGATGATGATGATGATGAAAGCCTTTTACCCTGAGATGGGGAGTCGAGAGCAGCTGAAGCAATTCCTTTTCATCATTATTCATCGGTGCAGTCTGCAATTCTTCTATCACCTTAATAAAGAAAAAAGAAAAAAAAAGAGAAATTTACCCACAAACAAAACAGACAAGACAATGAATGTTTTTCTTATTATACTTCCAGTTATTTGTTTGTTAATTTTAGGATGACACTCTAGAAAAGGACAACTGTCCAGAGCAGAAGTTCTGGAATGTATCAGAATTACAGAATAATAGAGTCCAACTCTCATATCATCCTGCAACATACATAGAATTAAAAAGGACCAAAGAAACATAGGGAGCTGACTTGTACGAAATATATATTGGAAGAGTGCCTACTGAAATAAAGCATTTACTTTCAGCAATCTTCATTTATAAAAATGTTTCACTAATATTCTAAGAATGCCATACTCCAAAAACCAAGGAAGGCACAACTGAGGTTCTTCTAAGCAGTTTCCTTTAGTGTTCCCTCTCTATAGATAGAAACCTTGCCAAACTAAAGACTATTTACTCCATTAAACATATACTCTGAGAACTGCTAAGGAGAAGCTATTTTAACTCTCTCCCACCCAAACTATCTAAACTTTGCTGTCTTTTGCTCCTCTGGAATGCCCTCCCCCCCTTCCTGGGAATCCAGACTACATTCCACCATTACACTGGTGGGTGACTTAGCCCAGCACTTTGCTTCAAGGGTGGGTGATCGCAGCCCAATGCTCCCCTGCCTAGAAGAAGGCATAAGTAAACTGAAGGTGGTTTAATTCATCCTTGAGATCCATAAACTGAAAGCAGTTTCACTAGTTTGACTTTTGATTCATGTATGTTTTGACTAGCCACTTCTCCTAGGAAAACCTTTTTGCAGGGAGACAAAGTCGTGCATACTTCCAGGCATTTTGTGAGAGTACTATGCACAACATAGTCTCAGAATTTCAAGATTGTCATCCAGTCAAAAAAAAATTGGCAATGTCCGGATTTACTTCCTGATTAGCAACATCGTGTTCAGCCTTGCTGGAGAAAGCAGACTGTCCATGTTGATATTTTCTGAACATACAGAATATTTTCCACTGCTAAGTTAAGATCCCTCATAAAGAAAGAGCGAAGAATGTAATGGCTGTACTGTAATTTCTGAGAATTCCTCCGCAGTCAATCGTATCTCACTAACAATTCGGAATGGAAGCAATTCAAAACTGACAAACAGCAGGGAGAGGATGTCCAATCCTATCCATGCATCAATTCTAAGTTGTGCCACCCAGCAATTTCTTCCCGCTCTAATATTTAGGCGAAGTGATCCAGAGAAGCCCTTCTCCCACATTGTGCCATTTGATGTGAAAAGGATGCCCACCAAAACTTTCATCTTGCAATGCCACAGCTGTTCTTTAAAGCAGTGTTTCTCAGCCTCAGCAAGTTTAACACTGCAGTGAAAAAACGGCACATTGAAGACAACTCTTCATTCTGTTTCCTTCCCTTTGGTCTCTCCCTGATGAACTTACATCTTCAGCAAGAGCAGAGGCATTATGCAGTACTGGGACCGGACTGTGTTGTTCATAATGGCACAATTTTTCATGAATCTGAAACAGAAAACAGACAATATGCACATGTTCACATGTACAAAATCTCCAGTGGTTGGAGCTATCTAAGAAACAGATCCTTTCAAGACAAGATTTATTTCAATCAAATGAAATATCTAACATGTGAGACTGTGGAAAAGAAAGACCTGCTCCAATTTCCCATTTTACTCTCAATCAGTTTGAGAACCTATATCAGTGGTGGCAAACCTATGGCACGGGTGCCAGAGGCAGCACTCGGAGCCCTCTCTGTGGGCACACGTGTCGTTGCCCCAGCCTTGCCTCCCCCTGCGACCCCCCTCTTCTCCAGCAGCCCCCCTGAAAAAGAGTCACTCTTGAACGTGGCCCACACAGACAGCGCAGCCAAGGACATAGCCAGCCAGGCAGCGTAGACAAGACTCTGCCCTCACACCCCATCATGCAGTTGATGCTGCAGGGCGCGGGCAGAGGGTGTGGCCGCCATAGCGCTGTTGGGCTGTCTGGGCAAACTGCGGTGGGCCATGGAGGCGGTGAGTGGTCCTGTGGGCAGGCGGGGCGGGGGATGGGGGGCAGAGTTGGGGGTGGAGCGGGGGCGGGGCCAGTTTTGGGGCACTTGGTGTCTAAAAGGTTTGCCATCACTGACCTATATGGTGGCTAGAACATAACAGGCTTCTTAAAAAAAAAAATCTGTGGCTACAGCAGCATCTGCTGCCTGATGGCTCTTGCAATTTTTATCTTCTTAGCACAGGATGCTTGAGGGCTGAGATGGCAGGACTGCAAAACAAATACTCTTTAGGTGGGAAAGCAGCAGATGCCAGGTTGGCCGGGAGCTATCAGGGATACCCTCTCTACAACTCAGTGCATCTTTGAAAACAACAAAAAATCATATTCTGTCCCCAAAGCACAAATACACAAAATATTTATGATGTGAACAATCCTCCTGAGCCCCAGTGTTTCTCCATGAGTTACCATGTATTTATTTATTTGTGATTTTTACAGGTAATACAGAAAAATTAGTAACATGTAAGGAGTTACATATTAATGGTTTTGAATTCTTTATTAATTCAGTTTAGGCCAATAAATAATATGGAATAATAATTGTAATACTTTATATATAATATTATATAAATATCATTATAATATAATATATAATTATAATGTAATATTTAACAATAATATATTAATTAGTTGTATTTAATTTTAGTTAGGTTTAAACAGAAATTGCTTCCAGTTAAAATTCACTCAAATGAAATTCTCATTCCAGGTTCTGACCACTTTTTGAACCAAATATCTGTACAAAAGGTTGGGTGCCTTGATTCCCCAGCGAAAGAATTGTGTGTCCAAGTTCCCAGTTTTTCTATCAGACTGGTATCTTATATATGCTAATCAGGGAACTAATCATTAAATCCTTTATTTAATTAGCATCTTAAAATCAGGAATTATTTCACTGACAAACTTTCTTTCATTCCATCTGATGCACTAATAAAACATCTATGCAATTAGAACCAGAGGATGAGAAGACTAATTTCTCTTGATGTTTCATTTCTCTCAATTGCATTTTCCTTTTCATTCATGAATTATGCATTTGTTTTCAGGAGCCCAAGTTTCACTATTTTCAATTAAAACCCAGTTTTCTATGCTACAACTTAAAGTGTCTTCCATGCAATTGACAGGTTATTTTCAGGAATTCTATCATGCGTGTGGAGTAAAAACACTAGCAAGTATCGAGGTTGTCACGTTTCAATCAGATCGGATTAAGTATTCTTATTTTACAAGACAAGTTAAACAGCCATAGCTTTTTCTCTAAGCACAACTTTCCAAATTGTTTTTTTCCCATCACTTTTTTTTTTTTTGGTAACTTGTCCATGCTGTTGCAAATCATTTCCTCGTCCTTTAGAAAATGTTATTTCCCATTCATGGTCATAAGAAACCAAAAAATTATCACATGTTTTGTTTTCCAAATATTTCCAAATCCAATGCATATAATCACTTGTGCGTTCAAGCAGGAAATTGTATGTTGTGAAGTGGAAAGGTTTGCAGCCAGGGGTCATCAGAAGCTTCCACATGGATGGGGTAAGATAAAAAAACAACAACCCTCAAACGACAAATAGATAGCGACAATTGTATAACTGAGGCCCAGCTCTTCTGTATGTGCACTCAAATCATGCTCAAGAACAAGGGGCAGGGCTTTAATTGCACAGTCACAACTACCATCTTGATTCCTACCACCACCATCCCATATTCTGCTTATTATGACCCAATACAATACAACACAATATTCTCAAAGTCTGATAGATTCTGGCAGTCTTAGCTTCCACCACTTTCTTATCACACCACTGGACCCTAGATTATGTAAAATCTTTACTATTAATAAACCAAAAAAAGGGCCCCGGCCTGGTTGAAAACTCAAAGTATGCCAAGCCAAGTATCTTTGAGAAACTATAGAATGTACGTTGTGGGTGTTCACAAAACTTTGTGTGTGCTCAGAAACATGCTCTGCAGCATATTCACACGTCACAATGTCCAATTTTGAGACCCAGGTTTGAATATCAGACAAAGAGGAAAACTAGGAAGCTAACAGCAAGATTTTCTCTAAAGAAAAATATTTACTTTCATTAAGCAGCTGAGACTTCTCTCACTAAAAATGTCTCTCAGGAATACCATCTCCTCCTTATGATTGGAGTCAGGCCTCAGCTGTGAGGTCAGGAGGGCAAGCGTCTCATGCAAACCTAAAAGATCAATATAAAAGGGACTGGTCAGAATGCCCATGATCAAATTGTAAAATAGCATTTTACAGAGGTTTAATCTATCCCAAAGAAGGACTTTATAACATTACTTTGAAATATCAGCTTAAAGCCAGAAAACTGGAAGAAAGAAAGTTGCAAATCTCTCAAACTTGCAACTTTAAAATGTCTGGACTTCAACTCCCAGAATTCCTTAAAGTTTACTTTTCATATTTCTGGAGATTCCAGTTCCAAATCCAAACTTTTTTTTATTGGACAAGACGGTCCAGGTCTGCCAAACAATAACGGCAGAAAATGTACTTTCATCCTGAAGCCTATTCTTAGAATTCCATCTCACCAGGAAAATCTTTTAGCATGTTCTGCTATTATTTTGGTACCCAGGCTTTCAAGAATCTTTTTCTTTATAGATTTTGTATCTTTTATTTATTCCACTGAATACAAGATTGCTTTTAACAACCAATTCTAGCTACTTCACTTATCTGATTATCATCACTTTTGCACCATTTTTGAATATGTAAGTTCAGAACTCCATACCAGCAGGATCAGAGTCAAAATGGGACAGATAAGAAAAAAAGGAACGATTAGTTGAAAACTATTCCAACTCTGTGCAAATGGCTTCTTACAATGGGAGCGATTAACTCAAGGAGAAAAGCCTTAATCGTCATGTACATCTTTGAATGCTGGACATCAGCTGGAAAAGAAAACTGGAGTCAAGAGAAAGGCAGAACTTCATTGTTCTTAGAATAGGTATTATTAACTTCTGGGCTGGAGCAATGCAATGCCATAGGTACCAAAATGTAAACTTTTTAAAATATTGTCTAAAAAGGTAAAGCACATAAATCAAAATCAATTAAACATATTTATTTCACATTGGAAGTCAACAATTACCATCTGGTGCAGAGTTTTCCAAACTTGAGAATTTCAAGATCTGTGGACTTCAACTTCCAGAATTCCCCAACCAGTTTGAAGTTCCAAATTTGAAAAACACTGATCTAGTGGCATAGTACATATGGCCATACCTGCCACATCACATTGTCAATTACTAATCCCCTCTTCCCAAGACTATAAATCTAATCTATTCTGGATGACTACATCTTCCAAATATCCACTGGGAATTCTGTCCCAATTCAGTTGAACTGGCAATACCTCAGGGCCACAGATATGGGAAAACTGATTTATAATCTGAAAAAGAAATGGCCAAAGGGCACTGCTTTTTGTTTTTTTACATTTTATATAGATTTAACAAGATTACGTTTCCTTTTGTTGTTGTTACATTTGCTTTGTTTTTTTACTATCAGCTTACTTTAAACTATGCATGTGTTCAGATTAGTACATGAATAGCACTAGAAACTGACTTATCTTTAGAGGCTTCTGGATCTCCAATTTCATGTAAGATAGTTACAGAAAAACACATTTTTAAAACATAAACTGAGAATGATATAATGATTAAGGTAGCAGAAATACCTGAATCTTCAGATAGGACGGGCATGGTATGTTTCTTGCTCACTATCTACAGATCCACGTGATCAATCCACTTTCAACAGCTATAATTTCCACACCAACAGAATGCCTGTAATCAAAGAAAAGACAACATTGTTTGTATGACAATTTGAAAGAATGTTAAAATATTTGCTTTCTAAAGTCAAATACAGATAGAATTATCTCTAATTCAGTTATTGTATGGCTTCATTGCCTTTGCTGTTTGGAGCAATTATTAATGATGGTTGGTAGAAAGGGACAAATTGATCCAAACTGGAAGAAAGGATGGAAGTGATCAGAATACACTCACATCATTGTGGAAAGATCTGCCTTAAAAATGGATAAATCCAACTGAATTCACAACTACATAAATACATCCCCATCTGCAGGTATCAAAAAGCTTAATGCAAACATGCAGTTTGATGACTCTCCCAGGAGCATCACAGTCCCATCATGTAAAGCAGGGGTGTCAAATTGCCAGCCTGCGGGCCGGATGCGTCATGCCCAAACCGCGCCCAGCTCCGGCAATGGGGAAAAAGTCGCGATATGTCGCAACACGTCACGTGATGTTCTGAGTTTGACACCCCTGATATAAAGGAATCCTGGCCCAATGAGGCTTTCATAATAAAAATAATAATAATAATAATAATAATAATAATAATAATAATAATAATAATAATAATAATAATAATAATAATAATAATAGTAATAGTAGTAGTAGTAGTAGTAGTAGTAGTAGTAGTAGTAGTAGTAAGTTGGAGGGGACCTTGGAGGTCATTGAGTCCAACCCCCTACTCAGGCAGGAAACCCTATACCATTTCAGACAAATGGCTGTCCAATCTCTTCTTAAAAACTTCCAGTGTTGGAACATTTACCGCTTCTGGAGGCAGGTTGTTCCACTGGTTAATTGTTCTAACTGTCAGGAAGTTTCTCCTTAGTTCTAAGTTGCTTCTCTCCTTGATTACGGTAGTTTTCATCCGTTGCTTCTTGTCCTGCCTTCAGGCACTTTGGAGAATAGCTTGACTCCCTCTTCTTTGTGGCAGCCCCTGAGATATTAGAATACTGCTTTCATGTCCCCCCTCATCCTTCTCTTTATTAAACTAGACATACCCAATTCCATCAACCGTTCCTTATATGTTTTAGCCTCCAGTCCCCTATCATCTTTGTTGGTCTTCTCTGTACTCTTTCCAGAGTTTCAGCATCTTTTTTACATCGTGGTGACCAAAACTGGATGCAGTATTTCAAGTGTGGCCTTACCAAGGCATTGTAAAGTGATATTAATACTTCACGTGATCTTGATTCTATCCCTCTGTTAATGCAGCCCAGCACTGTGTTGGCTTTTTTGGCAGCAGCAGCACACTGCTGGCTCATATTTAAGTGATTGTCCACTAGGACTCCAAGATCCCTCTCAACCCTGAGCAACTTTAAGAAGTGTGGATTTCAACTCCCAGAATTCTGCTTCTTAAAGCTGCTGAGTTTGAGAAGTACTAGTCTAAACTACTGTCAAAGTCTCCCCTGCACTCCTACCCATCACAACCTTCCTATTCCTCATCTAGCATTGGCAATATGATAACGCCTGCTTCGTGGATTACAGAGTTAATTTCAATTTATGGGTTAGTAAAAAAATGATATTAATTTAAAATAAAACAGTGAAATATTCCAGTTTTCCTCTAGCCCAGCGGTTCTCAACCTATGGGTTGCGACCCCATTCGGGGTCGATCGACCATTTCACGGGGTCGCCAAGCAAGGCTGTCCGCCATTTTTTCCCCCTTTTCCGGCGGGTGCCTTACCTCCCTTGAGCTGGGCCAGCTGGTGGTCGGCCTGCTCCGTCTCTGCCGCTTGCCAGCTACGCCTCGGCCGGCGCAGGGGGCGGAACCACACATGCGCGGCGCTCCCGGGCAGGGAAAGTCCTTGACTTACGACCGGTTGGGTAGTCCTCGACTTACGACCGGTTTAGTCCTCGACTTACGACCGGTTTAGTCCTTGACTTACGACCAGTTGGGGGTCGTGGCATTAAAAAGGTTGAGAATCACTGCTCTAGCCAAATTGGAAAACAGAGAGTAGTCCCAAAATCTTTAGACAAAGCACATTGGCAGGCCATGTTTTGCTCTGCACTAAACATGTACAGCCATTACTGATCAAGCTGCGCTCCCCAGTTATGAGCATGCTTTCCCAAAACTACACTTTTTTATCACTGAGGGGAAAAATAGTTTCTTTTTCAATGTGGGACTCTGCAATTTGGTAAGTTAAGCATCTGATCTAAAAAACACTTCCCACTCTCAGCGTATATTTACTGAATAATCTGATGAAAGTAATGCAAATTGCAATAGACATACTGTCTAATAAGTAGGCTGCATTCTATGCACACCCAGCTATGTGGAACTAAGCTCTGCTGGATTTAAAGCTATCCCAGGCTGGGTACACCACCTATGTTAAGCCACAAAGTGATTAGTTTGATTTTGATTTACCATCTTAAGTGAAGTCAGCCACTATCACTTGAAAACTATTGTGTTCAAAAATAAATCACTTGTTGCACTTTATGCTTGGCTGTCTTTTTAATTCTTTGGCTTCCAAGGTCCATAGGGGTGTAAATAAATATATATTTGTCTTTATTTATATTAATAACTCAAGATGGCAAACAGACCTAATACTCATTCCTATTCCTATTTTCCCCACAACAACCCTGTGAGATGAATTGATCTGAGAGAGAGAATGGCTGACCCAAGGTCACCTAATGGCTTTCATGCCTAAGGTGGGACTACAACTTATAGGTATCTTGGCATATAGACTGGTGCTTTAACCACTAATCCTGTAATGGCCTGATCTGAAATAAGCAGAACCAATGTTTTAACCTATTTGGAGGGGTACAGCTGGAGAAATATTTAAGAGTTTTGTCCATTAACTTTCCCTGATGGGAAAAATCAGCCCATTTGGGAGGGGGATAAGATTTGGGGAAGGGGAAATGACAGCCTTGACCTTCTGCAAGTGTTAAGACATCATGTTGTCCTGAAAAACACTACCCAGATTCATGACATGCTCATCAAAATGTTGGCAGGATGGTGCTTTGTTTGGACTATAAAAGGGGTGATGAAGACCCTTGAATAATCTATCTCTGGGTAAAGACAACCATTTGCAGAAGCATGCCCATATAAATATTTGTTTCTTAAGTCCTTGTCTTCAAGATTCAGTTTCTTATCTGCTCACCTAGAAATAGCTGCAACTCAAAGGATAGTCCTGGACCATTTTGCATAGTACGAAAGAACTGTATCATTTGTTGACCTCTATGTTTTAACTTTGGTGTCACTTTGTCCTTTTCTGCTGTGCCAGCCATGCCCCTGAACTGACTATTCATCCTAATCATCTTGAAGAGCCATTTTTTCCCCATCTACTTAATATTATCTTTTTCAGCAGGGTGTTCTCCACCCATGTCACTGTGGAGCACAGGACAGGGTGTCACAAGTGCTTAACATAGTTGCTAGAGAAGGAAAAAAAAATCTCTACTCCTTCCTATAGCTGGTTAAATTCATTTGAGGTAATTGGCCAGAATTTTAAGAAAACCACATGCTGTGCAGAACTTTATGAAGTGAAGCAAGAAAGTTCTACACATTTGTTTTCATTTGTCTCAGCCTTCTCATCAGTTAGATCTGCACAACACATTACTGTAGACTATGTGAAAATGGGATTGGGTAGTCTATGATTCATTATGTTCTTGTATTAACATAATGTGTGAATTTGATTGTGAGTCATAATATAATTCCTTTGATATGGCCATAGCATGCTTATGAGAACACAGTAATTAAATTCTGTTTACCCTGGTTTTCAATTTAGTATGCTGTATGCACTACAGCTGGACATGTAAAATGTGGCAGTTGTGAACAGAGGTTGAATAACAATCACACTGTTGTGCTGCACTCTTGTCCATGAGTCATTACACCGATGACTATCTTGTGATGAGACAACAACACCAGCACTGACTGTCAACCTAAGATATTTATCAGGTAATTATAAGCAACTCATATAGAAAAGTTCAATAACTTAGTGTATTTCTCTGAATTTTCTGTTAGAATCATACAGTGTATAATTCCTAGACTAGAGCATCAGGGGTTTCAGACAAGTCTACATTTACTCCATGAGAGAAAATGTTCATATAATCTGGCCCTCCCCAACCTTATTGTGATTTTATTCTCCTCACACATTGGGAGAGTACCAAGTCAGGAAAGGCTGATAATCATTCATACAGGTAGTCTTTGTTTAGCAACAACCCCATTTATAGACCATTCACAATTATAATGAAAAAGTATTTTTGCAACCAATCCTCACATTCATGATCTTTGCCAGTCTGTAAAACAAAGGAAAGCTAAAGTAAGATAATAAAAATGGTTACAATTCCACTTAGAAACCACTTCATTTAACAACTAGGTTGCTGTCCCAATTGTGATTGCTAAATGAGGACTATTCATAGTTAAATTGCCAGCATTACACATAGTTAGAACCCTAACTGAGCCTAGCAAATACAGTCTTAAGTTGTGATAGTCATAAAGTTAACATCTTGGTCATTACACAAGCCCACTGTTCATTATGGCAGGGCTTTTCAACCGATGGTATGCGTACCACTTGTGGTACGTTAACGAGTGACAGCCCTGCCTAGCCAAGTAGTGGGGGAGGGAAAGAGCCAGTGCAGGCAAGAACTTACTGTGAGAGAGTCCTCTGGAGCTGCAGAGTGGTTGGGGCGAGGCAAAGACCCCAGGCTCACTTCTGGCTTACCCTCCCCCATGAGAAAGGAGGAGGAGGGGGCCGGAGACAGGAGAGGCTATAAAAGGAGGCAGTTTGGGCGGGAGAGCGAGAGAGAGAAAAAGCAGCAGGCTTGGGAAGAGCTGCACCGAAGGGAAAGAAGGAGGAGGGTGGGGGGAGAGGAAAGATCAAGCAGGCCAGCCCTGAGCCAATACTTACTACATTTTTTTTCTTCAGTAGCTAATTCTTAAAGGGGAATGTGCCTTTTTAAGCTAGTTCACTCAGCAGTTTGTCTTTTCTTTC